GGTGTGAGTGTAGATATAGCTGAAAAACAAAGACACACCTATACGCATACTCACACCCACCAACACCTACAGTCCACAATGGACACAGAAATCAATGAACATCTTAAACGTTAAGATCTACAGAGAAAGTACTTGTGTAAATAAAAAGCTATACCTGGTGAATTGCAATGAAAAGTTCTGAGATTTGACTATTGAGTATAAGAAATGTGAATTCTAGTTTCACTAAAAAGTGAGCGTGAAGAAGAGTACTGCATTACTGTCCTTACACAAACCTGCAAGACGAACGAGAATGAAGAATTATCTCTCTGATCTGAGCGCTCTTTCATTTAGAGAAAAGAGAGTTTTCATTATTATTTTGAAACTCACATGATGCAATCAGTGACCCTCCTCTCATCACTGTATTCTTACGAAATTAAATTACGTTTCACAAAAAATATCAATTTCAAAAAAACAAAAGGATTAAATCAATGAAAAACGCAATAATAACAATCATCGCCATCGCACAGAGTGTAATTGAATATTTTCAAGGCTATTGTTCTTAGAGAATCTTATGACACGTCCTTCAAACACCCTATATAAGTAGCTTTAGTTTCGACGATTATTTAGTTCTGACATAAGCTGCAAAAGCAATATTTAACGATGCTATTAGTCGCAACACTTCTCATCGTTCTTGGTACTAGTGCCTATGGTCAACTTCAATTGACAATTCGTGACAATGGAAAATTGTGTTCCCCATGGATAACGGTAGATGGTGGTCAAGTGTCACTGTCATATACACAGAATCAAGAATGTGCCGGACAAGTTGGTTTTGAGCAGGACAATATGCGAGTTCGTCTCTGTTGTCAAGTAATGTCTACAACTACATCATCACCTATCTTTCCTCGTGAATGTGGTAAACAACAATATCAACCATCCAGACCACGTATTGTGGGAGGAACACATGCTCGTCCAAATTCATGGGTAAGAGAAGAAAGTAAAATCTAGCTACTCACTATACATTCCGTCTGTCTTTCTTCTAGCCATGGCAAGTGCGTATACAAGCTGGTAATGGTCTCTGTGGTGGAACTCTAATTGATACAAGACATGTTTTAACAGCAGCTCATTGTTTTCAAACACCACCTGTTATACAAAATCATATGGTCTATGTCGGTTCGCATTATATTAATCGAACAGCCTATAATGAACAGAAAATTGCTGCAGAACGAATTTTTATGCATGAACAGTACAATGCAGAGACAAGCGAAAATGATGTTGCTATTATTCGTCTTTCAAGACCAGTGACAATTTCAGACAAGATCAATATTATCTGTTTACCAGGTCCTGAAGCACACAATGAGAATGAAACAGTTTGGGTTGGTAAGTAATTACTATCGCTCTTTCCTTTTCAAAGCAAACAAATATTCAACTCCATTTTCTTCAGCTGGTTGGGGTACAACATCATTTCAAGGTGAAATAAGTCCAGTTTTGAAACAAGCAGCATTGCACACAATGCCAGCACGTTGTGGAAGAATCTATCCATCTTATGATAATCAAAAACAAATGTGTGCTGGTGCTCACGGCGGAGGACATGATACATGTCAAGGTGATTCAGGAGGACCATTGATGTACGAATCAAATGGACGATGGTAAGTGAGCTCTTTCTTTCATTTTTCTATCTCACGAAGATGTGTCTCTTCTGCTTTGTTTTAGGTTTTTGAACGGTGTTGTTAGTTATGGCCATGAATGTGCTCTAGATGGATATCCTGGTGTTTATGCTCGTGTTAGCTATTATCTACCATGGATCAGAAGTAAAATGAGTGCAGCTTAGGTTCTTTTCCTGTTGTATATTGGAACAAGACCTTTTTAAATAAAGAAGGAGTGCATAATATTAAAATAATTCTTCTCTTGTGAACGAAAGAGATGTTTACTTCGAGTTGTTAAAGAAGTTCTTGAGGGTGAGGTGGATGGGTGGAGTGTGAGAAATAGATAATTCCAAGATACTTACACGACGATCGTTTCGACTTCTTGTTGAATGCTTTAGCATTGTGTTGGAATGATGTTGGTTTTTATTATTATTAGGTTTTTGTAGTCTTTAGGCGTGGATCCTTCGATTGTTATTCTGAAAGTTGTTCTTCGATTCAATCGTTTTTGCCATCTGCGAGTTTGAGTTTGATGCCGTACTGTAATATTTGATTAGTCATGTAGATCATGGTATGCTTTTACTGAAGAGACATTTATTGATGCTCTAGAAGGATGTTTGTGATCAGAATAGTAAAAACAATTGTGGAAACATCAGTTTTGGTTGGAACGATTCTTTTTATTAATAATGAGTATAGTGTTTTTTTTTGTATCTATTTCACAAGTTTTTAGAGGAAGTGCATTGGGCTGGAAAGTTCTTCACCGTTCAAGTTGGTTCGATCCTGTTCAGCATCGTTTTCTTTGATTTTTTTGTAAATGAAGAAGTCGTGGAGTGTTCGATTAGTCTTCGTGACAAATTTCACTTTCACATGAGCAACTTTAAAGCCTTGACCTTTGGTAATGGGTTTTCCGCCACGTGTGGAATTGTGTTGTGAAGCGCAGTTGAGGTCCGCTCTAAAATAATGCGGTGCATAGATGATGCTAGGATTCCATGGATCGTTTTTTTGCGCAGTATCTCTGGCATTTGTCTCATTTGGTTATTGCATGTTTGAGTTGTCTTTCGCATCGTGTCGGTTGATGAAGTAAGGTTTGATGCAGTATTCGATATTGCTCAGCATCCAGTTGTTTTAGTACAGCCATTATGTCACTTTGAATGAAAAATAGATGAAAATTCTTTGTAATAAAGGTTGGAGGGTAATCGTTCAATAATAATGACCCATCTATGCGAATACATTCCATATCAAAATCCTGAACATTTGAACAGATACGAGCAGCATGTAGCAACGCAGCGTATGCAATGTTACGATGTACATGTTGAGGATGGTCTGATGCATACGGCAGAACATAATATTCTGCGGTTGACTTATGATAAACGGAGGTTGTTAGTTGATCATTATCGTTTGTTTCTATCACGTCGAGAAAACTCATGCATGATTAAATTTTATAAGAAATTCGAATATTTAAGCTTTTTCATAGATATCTTCTGGTATGTCTTGGATTTAATGTCTTAACAAATTGGTGATCATAAAGACACTATCGATATATCTATGTTCAAGATTAATATCAGTATTTATCAAGAAAATAGGTTTCCAGTGTTGGTGTGAAGTGTGAGTGCGTATTTTCTTTTCATTCATATCCATACCCTGTGCAAGAAAAAGAAAAGGTATAATATTAATATTATTTGATCAATTGGATGATGCTAGACTAAATCATAGATTAAGATCTTCTAATTAGATAAATTATTCTCTTTTTCTTGTAAATGGAGAAGAAAAACTTAGGTATATTGTTGTCACAATCAAACTGAGATAAAATATGTTGAACGTAATCTTCATCGTTGTGTTCTACAGTGACAGGCACTAGTCAGCAATATTGCAATAATTAACGAACAACATGATGATTATATGGGGCAAAGAGAGAATAAGTGTATCTCTTGTTGTGTCAGCATAGGAAGCGTTAGATCCGTTCGACACACCCGATTAATTTCAAAGAGACAAATTTTTCTTTCTTGTTTCTTGAACAGAAAGTTGATCAATTGCATTAGAAGCAATCTTTTTGATAATTGATTTTCATGAACAAATGGAAATGTTAATCATCAATTTTTTTCTTCTATATGTAGATAGTATGTCTGATCAAGACAAATCAAAATGAGAGAACGAGAACAAAATTGAAATCCAATTGAAATTCACACGATGTAAAGAAAGAGTAAAACTGAATAATCCATCGAGTATGCATGTCAAGGGGGAAACGGCGGATTGCGTATTTTCGGGATTTTCAGGATTTTTTTCGTATTTTTAGGATTTCTT